TTAGCCTTCATGGATAAAACCCCAAGCATGTTTATCTCTCCGACTGTGACTCAAAACAAACAGGAAGTCCTCTTCAGCCGGCTCTTGTCCTGTGCAAGGCAGATACTAAGGTAATGGGAGAAAGGAAGTGGATCAAGGTCTAAGGGAGACATCCTTATAGCGATATCAGCCACAGAGATTACAAGAAACTTTTAGTTACAATGAAAATAATGCAGGATCCTTGAGTTATTTAGCCATCCTGAATTATATGTAAGGGATTAATCTCTAAAAAGTGAGTTATGTTTCAGTGTAGTTCATTTAACAAAAATAGCCAGATTGAAAAAAAGATGAGTTTTTTTTTTTTCTAACCTGATACCGCCCAAGTGTCCCTATTTGTTATGGACAGTCCCTATACTTTGTTCCCTTAACCCCTCTTTTCACTTTTAATGTTATGTTTTTACCAGAGCTTGACTTTTTAAAGTGTATGAATGAATAATGGAACCTCACGACATAAAAGCTCACAATAGAAGTGCATAAACTCGCTACAATAAAAGTGTTTACAAATTAATGAATGCAAACACGATATTTTGTTTTTTTTCTTACCTTTTTAGCTCCATCAATAGCTATTAATAGATCATCTATAATGCCCTTAACCTGGTTAAATAATATCAAGGATGCAGTTGTGCAAGAATGATGGTATTTTGAGCTCAGGGCTAATACAGTAGATGTGTTTTTTGTAGTGCATTTGCATCACATAAACTTGTTACAGTGCAGCCACAGACCCCCATGTGTCCCTTTTTAGGGTTAAATAATTTGTAGTATGTGGGGAGGGGGTATTTTTATTAATTCTCACTTCTGTCTTATTAGAGATTTTGCCTTTTAGTTGAATGCAGCATGGTAAATTGTTAGCGTAGGACTTAAGGGGTTAGCCTTGAAGTTGGCAGATGAGTTTACAATCTGATTACCATTACATTGGTGCTAACCATTGGCGAAACTACCATGGCCGCAGGGTTCGCAGATATGTAATGCAGCCCAGGCCCACGCGGTATAACCACTGGGGCCGCGCATTCAGGGGCCCATCGGGTGGCCCAAGCTATTGGGCAATGAACTTCCAGGGGGTCCGGTCTGCGCTGCTTCAACAACGCGACCAGGCCCCCTCTGATGATGTCAGATGGTGGGAGGAAATGACAGCCCCGGTCAATTCCTCCCAGAAATCACTGTGCTGCATGGGAGGAGAAAGGAGAGGAGGGAGTCAAAGTGGGAACTCTGACTCCCATCAGCCTGAACCACTGGACCCCTGGTAAAGTCACCCTCCTGCACCTAAAAGGTAGGAAACAGGAGGGTGACTAAAACATTTTGCATGTGTGTGTGTTAGTGTATGTGTGTGTTTGTGTATGTGTGTCTCTTGTGTGTGTGTATGTATGTGTGTGTTTGTGTATGTGCGTCTCTTTGTCTGTATGTATTTGTGTGTGTGTGTGTATATACATGTGTCTGTATGCATGTGTATGTATGTGTGTTTGTATGTATGTGTATTTGTGTGTGTATATATATATATATATATATAGGTGTGTGTGTGTATGTGTGTGTGTCTGCATTTGTATCTGTTTGTCTGCATGTGTGTCTATATATGTATCTGTATGTCTGAGTATATGTATGTCATTGTCTGCCCTATGTGTCTGTATGTGTGTCATTTTTTGTATCTGTATGAGTGTCATTCTGTGTATTTGAATGTTTGTCATTAAGTGTCTGTGTATTTGCATGTGTGTCCATGTATGTATCTGTATGTGTTATATGGTGTGTATCTGCATGTATGTCAGTGTGTGTTTGTTTATCTGTGTGTGTGTCTGTGTAACTGTCATCCCACCGCACACACTGTCAACCCCTTCACCTGCCACACTCACAATAACTCCCCCAATCCTGTCACAATCACCTTCTCTAGCACTGTCACACTCATTCTCCATCACTCTGTCACACTCACCGGCTTTCACCCTGCCATATGAACCCCTCCAATTCTGTCATACTCATCCCCCCAACCATACCACACTCACCCTGTGGGGTATAAATGAAACACATGGAGGGGCTGGGGGGCGTGAATGTGACACATGCATTGGATGGTATTCTCCACTGCAAAAAACGAATAAACCAAATTCACGACTTAGTTTATTTACCTCCCAGAAGCACAAGCATTATTTCTGCGTTTTTTTTGTTTGGCGGTTTATCTAAAAAACGCTTCTAAAAGCTATAGATCTCTTGCCTGCAGCGAGATTTTGCAAGGCCTCCTCTTATTCCCAGCCCAGTCTAAAATATTCCAATCAAGGGCTTCTCATTGAGAAGACAAGGCTTCCCAGTGCTTCACTACGAGCTGTAGTATAACTCATGTAGGGGGGTAGGCATGTGCACGCTACCACCGAGCCAGGAAGTAATTTCTGCCTCCAAATATAAAAAGGCAGAGTTCTCTTGAAATCACTTTTATAAACTAACTGTCACAAATGTGACAGGCTCCAGACACATAAAACTCTCCAGAAAGGTGAAGTGCTTTATCTGTGTGGAGTGTTCCTGTAAGATCCATTTAATAACTATCAGTGTAGCTGCTATGTTCCTAGCGGGCTTATTCTCCTAAGCAGTGATGCATCAGGGTAAATAATTATCAGATCTCCGTACATACAGATCTTTGCTGAAAACAAGACACTTTGGGGCTGTTTGATGTTCACTAAACATTGGTGGATATTATAACTGATTATCGATTTGCAATATTTTAAGCTAACAAAAAAATTCCAGACCAGATGAGTTGTAGATAATTTTACACATTGACTGTGTTGGCTTTAATTTAGCCAGTTAAATAACAACTATGTGCTGTTACGTGAGTAGACCCCCATAATCCTAATACAGAACTATGGAATATGTTGGCCATCTATAAATAATACTGCTACTAATAATATTTATAATAATACCATATTTATAATAAAACATTTAAAGTTCTGGTGAGGAAGTAATATATAAATTGTAGACCAAAGTGAGCAAGGTAAGTTGGATGAGATATTCCGTTGTCAATTTATTACAACTCACTGTTTAGTAAATAGGTCCTTTAACCTCTTTGATGTCTACATACTGACACCAGGACAAGTAGAGGAATTGAAGATGAGCTGAACATTCTGATCTGTAGCCTGAATATTTCCAGCAACTCCCCCTGGGGAATTCAACTGCATCTTATATAATACAAAGTAAGAAGTAAGAAACAAGCATTAATGAGTTTGTATTATCCTTCTCTGTTCGCTACGCACCACAACAGCGTCAACGGCTTTACTGTGTGCTTACCAGCCAAGGATGCTAATTCCCATTGATTGCTTTGTCCCAGAGCCAGTACACACCAAACAGTCTCAATTTCTACAGCAGTTTAGCATGCGAGCACCCAGCGAGGCTGATAGAAAAACGTTACTTGCAGCTTCTCAAACACACCTATATCTTCAAAACTAGGCAGTAAGGGAAGTTTTTTTTTTTTTTTTTTGTGAGAATCACTGCACGTTTCGTGACGCCTGCTTTCTTTCTATTTTGCTCCCGGTTGGCAAAGGCAACAAAAATTGGTTCAAGGACTTTCTTACTACAAGACAACGTTGCCTAAAATGCAAATGTTGGCATTATGAACCATCTGTACTGGATAACTACACTTCATAAGGCAATTTAAAATTATTATATTTCACAATGTAGTCATACATATTTTTCCATCAGGGCTATGTTGACCTAACATTTGCTATTCCTTGCCAGTTCTACGCAATTCCTGGTTTAGTCAATAGTTCCATGGGATCTACAATCTAGAGATTAACTCCTTGTGATTATGATGTTTAGGGAATGTCACCAATTGGTTATTAACATTAAATATATATGCTTAATATATAACTAAAAAAATACCTATTCTGCAGTAGCATGCACAAAATAAACACTGCCTGATTACCCGTTTAGTGTCCAAAGTGGCCGCCTAGAGTGCAGGAAAAGAAAGGTAGGCAGCTGTCTGTGGTCTGGCACTCAGGCTATAAGGGATTCTTCCCCCTGCACGGCCCTGTGTTCTCTCATTTCACTGAGGAAGCGTTGTAGTCTGTACAGACTATCAGGTACAGACTACTTTAAGAGTGCCCTCTTGGACCCTTACTCTTCTTGATGATTCGGAGCATCACAGCTGGTGATCTGAGTCATTATCTGAGTCTTGGAACTGCAAGAGTGCTCTTAAAGTGGTCTGTACCTGATATTGGTACAGGTGACAATGCGACCCACCTGGATCACCAGGGATCCAGCTAACACTCCACTGGACCACCTGGGATTCAGCTCAAACTCCAGTGGTACACCAGGAAAGGTAAGTAGGAGGAGAGGACAAAACATAGACGCAACACTCACACACTCAGACTCCCCTATGCGCACACACACCACTCAGACTCTTAAACACACAAAATGTGCCCACCACACACGCAACACTCAGCCAAGACACACGGGCAAACTCAGCCACCACCATACAGTTCTACTCCACACACATATACAACACTCACAGAAACAGACTCCCATGGCTCTAGAAGGCGGCCACATCTGGCATTCTGCATGGGCAACCTTAAAGAGACACTATGTACACCCAAACCATGTCTTGAGAAGTGATCTGGTTGCCATGTCCCCATCTACTTAATCCTGCATTTGGCCTATTGCTAAATTTCCAGATTATTTTACTTATTTGTTTTTCTGGATAACTTTATGCACATCCACACCATTCTTGATATTTAATTTGGAAGAAGGTGATCATAGCAGGGTTGCTCAAAAAGTAGATCCACAGCTGTAACAGAACTACAAATCCCACGATGCTCGGAAAGTGTTAAATCTATCATAGCATCATGGTTGTTGTAGTTCTGCAATAGCTTTTAGGTACCCCTACATTATGGCCTTTCTTCTGTAATGTCAATTATTACAGCAAATTTAACTATTAACATTCCTCTATTGACTATTGAACTCGGGGTAGTTAAAGGGAAACTCCAGTGCCAGGAAAACAATCCGTTTTCCTTGCACTGCAGGTCCCCTCTCCTTTCCACCTCCCAATCCCCGGTTGCTGAAGGGGTGAAAACCCCTTCAAGTCACTTACCTGAGACTCCGCCGATGTCCCTCGGCGGTGGTTTCTTCTCGCCGCCGCTCCTCCCAGTCTTTACATCGGCCGGTGGGCAAGACTGATCCCGCACACCGGCCGGGGAGACCTAATGTGCATGCGCGGCAATGCCGCGCATGCGCATTAGAGCTCCCCATAGGAAAGCATTGAAAATGCTTTTCAAAGCTTTCCTATGGGGAATTGAGCGACGCTGGAGGTCCTCACACAGCGTGAGGACGTCCAGCGACGCTCTAGCACAGGTTTTCTGTGCTATAGGGCAGGAAGTGCCCTCTAGTGGCTGTTAACCCTGCAAGGTAATTATTGCAGTTTATTAAAAAACTGCAATAATTACACTTGCAGGGTTAAGGGTAGTGGGAGTTGGCACCCAGACCACTCCAATGGGCAGAAGTGGTCTGGGTGCCTGGAGTGTCCCTTTGCTGCTCCATTTTTCTGCTTATGTTACAAAACTTGTGCGTTTAGTAGATGAATGAGTTATCTACTAACTTACTAATGGATGAGGAATTTAAATCACCTGTTTATTAGTTCATCCAAAAGAAATGCCAGTAAAATGCCAGTTTCCTTTGGCAGCTCTGCTGTGCAGGTAAGTAGTCTGGGATATAACTATAAGTCAGTATTTAAATTATGCCATAACATTGATGTTTTACTTGTTAGCAGCAAATTGAAAACAGTTTAGAATAAATATGGGTAGAAAGAGTATACAATGTGCCAGTATAGGGATATTCCATAGAGAACCAGACATTCCTCCAGACAGTCCTAGAGGGCACTTAATAACCAGTTGGTTTTCTAAAACTGCAATATTCTGAACAGGTGCTGGAGAGCCATACCTGGTATGCACGTTGAGGTGCATTCTATTAACAGTATGTATTGAATCGGTATTAAATCTCACACACCAGGAATTATACGACTCTGCTGTTTCTTTGTTTCTACCATAGCCCTTCTACGCTCCATCCCATTGTTTTGGACCTGCCTGTTCCTTTAATGACAATCAACAGGAAACTTTGGTTTAAATTGGTTTTGCTGTATATATCATACCCTTGAATTCTCACCGCTCAATTCTCTGCACCTCCCCTGCCCATGATTTACACAGCTTATATACCTCCTGTAAATGTTATACTTTATTGCAGTGTGTTTAATTTAGAATTTCCTATGTCCGGCTCTCTTGATTGCCCCCAATGATTCTCAAACTTGACCATTGGAAAACCATACTGATGCAAGTGCTGAGCGTTAAACTGGCTTGTGAAGTTTCATTTTAAAACAATTGGTCATCTAAACAGCTTATTCCTTCATAAATAATCAATACAATATTTTTTTCACATTCATAACATGTTTTATGATGGTCAGAATGGTTTTAGAACAGGTCACATATTGACAAAATATAAATCAAGAAATGGGAAGGTTCAAAAAAATTTTATTATAACTTTCTTCAAATGTTTAGGCAACAAAATAACGTAAACGTTTGTGTGTTTGGGGACAGGTTCACTAAAAGAGTGTATAGTTTTGAAGGTTTATAAAACACCATCTTCAGAACTGTGTGATCCACTTACTTTGACTATGTAATCATTAATTAAAATAATTAGTATTGGAGAGCGTAGTAGCATACAAAGAGTCATCTGTGGAATCTGCGAGAAGGTGCCAAGCCAGTTCGTATGTATGATGGAAGAGAAAAGAACTGTGCCACATGGAAAAGGTTTTTTATCCAATTACATTTTGGCATGGCAATAATCTGACTTAGAACGCACTATCCAAAAAAAAGAGTATAAACAAAGATGAGGCAGGTGGTAGCAAAGCAAATCTTCCTTACAAGAGAGGAGCTAGCCAACAAAACAAAGCAAATACAGTCTTTTTTTAATTCATTAGCTATGGTATTCTGCGTAAAAGGGCACAAGGAGAAAATACTGTCCTTTCAACCATGTTTCGATAAAGAAAATAGACGTTATGCAATAAACACATTTATTTGATTCTATTCTTAAAAGAAAAGAGTTTTCAGATAATACAAATATATATTTTGGCTGTTTTGCTTGCTGAGTGTAAGAACACTTTAATAAAAAATAAAAAAAGATTCTTTAGGCTGGCCACAATAAAACTTGCAACATCTGTGGCCTTGTGCTGTGTGATAAAACTGCACATTTTAGAGTGGCCTTTTATTGTGGCCAGGCTAGGGCACACCTGTGCAATAATCATGCTGTCCAATCAGCATCTTGATATGCCACACCTGTGAGGTGGTTGGATTATCTCAGCAAACAAGAAGTGCTCACTAACACAGATTTAGACAGATTTGTGAACACTATTTGAGAGAAATAGGCCTTTTCTGTACATAGAAAAAGTCTTAGATCTTTGAGTTCAGCTAATGAAAGATGGGGGCAAAACCAAAAATGTTGCGTTTATAATTTTGTTCAGTGTATAACAACTTAATTTAAAGTTGTTTTGGTGCCTGGAGTGTAACTTTAAGATGTGCTGTTGCTTGCAGTGTGCTCGGAGTGTCTTTTTAATTCACTAATAGTTAATTGATTAAAAGAATGTGATGCAGTAGGCAGTTATAAAATACTAATGCATTTTACCACCAAATATTATTAAAATTATTATTACTATTGTTACTATGTAATATATTATGGACATAAAAGTGTGTGACCAAAATCATTAAAAGTGTGATGAAGAACAAAAGTTAACTTTTTAAAGCGACAGTCAAAGTATAAAAAGCTTTTGCTTAAATATAATGTCTCAATGCATGTTATTTGATTTATTTTGTGGTCAATTTCTGGTTGCCATCTCTTTTTCCTCTGACATCATTTGAGGAAGTACCACATTCCAAGTACTTGCACTGCTTGAGTGCACACTGCCTGCTCCCCTCGCGCAAGTCGGCCTTCTGAACCTGCAGGAGCTCTGAGGAGTTACTCTCTATAAACTGTGTTAGTTAAAGGGACACTATAGTCACCTGAACAACTTTAGCTTAATGAAGCAGTTTTGGTGTATATAACATGCCCCTGTAGCCTCACTGCTCAATCCTCTGCCATTTAGGAGTTAAATCCCTTTGTTTATGAACCCTAGTCATACCTCCCTGCATGTGACTTGCACAGCCTTCCATAAACACTTCCTGTAAAGAGAGCCCTATTTAGGCTTTCTTTATTGCAAGTTCTGTTTAATTTCTTATCCCCTGCTATGTTAATAGCTTGCTAGACCCTGCAAGAGCCTCCTGAATGTGGTTAAAGTTCAATTTAGAGATTGAGATACAATTATTTAAGGTAAATTACATCTGTTTGAAAGTGAAACCAGTTTTTTTTTTCATGCAAGCTCTGTCAATCATAGCTAGGGGAGGTGTGGCTAGGGCTGCATAAACAGAAACAACGTGATTTAACTCCTAAATGACAGTGAATTGAGCAATGGAATTGCAGGGGAATGATCTATACACTAAAACTGCTTTATTTAGCTAAAGTAATTTAGGTGACTATAGTGTTCCTTTAAGTTGCTTGGCTTGTGGTTTCTCTTTAATTAATGTGTTAAATTAATTCCAGATTTTTACTTATGTAATTTTTACGCATTCCATATAATTTGATCATAAAAATGTATCTGTTTCAGAGATTTAAGATTTATTTGAATACATTTTATTTAGTGTGGTCATCACATAACTGCAAGGAGTATCCCTAAGTTTTACTGTCCCTTTAAATTTCACATTGTATATGGATACAGATTCTAAATGCATATATATATATTTATATATATATATATATATATATAAAACTATATTGATATCAACCCTGAATTTGTTTTGGGAATAGAGGGAAAAGCATATGCATATTTTTTTTTTCACAGACACCTATTCAGATCCGTCACCTGATGGTGAGGGGTAAGCTTCGACCATTAATTGACTTACTGGACGGTTCCCCGGACATTTCTACACAGACTGAAATATGAACAGTTATGGCAGTTTATAACCCACATGCCACAACGACCTGGCTTGAGTAGATCCCTGACCCCATTCGAGACTCTATGCGACAACCTCGATCCTCAACCACATGCCATTTCTCTGCTGTACTCTGAGCTCCAACAATATAGGAACCTCCATACATGGCCAAGTGGGAAGAAGCACTTGGGGAGACACTCACTAACCAACAGAGGGACAAGATATGCAACCTGGTTCACCATTGTGCTTTAGCCAGTAAAACACATAAAACAGCTTACAAAGTTTGGGCACTGTGGTATAGGGTACCATTCTTCCTTAACGATGTGAACCTGGCCCTTGATGGCACTTTTTGGCAATGTCATGCTGCCAGTGGTACATTTAAACATATCTAGTGCGAATGCCCTTTTTGGACAGCCATTAGTGCCAATTTAGGAAAGTTCTATTACACCACATCACTACACCGACGACTAGATACGAGAAATCCCTGACCATTTGGATCCTAAATACTACAAAACAAGGAATACCCCTGCACTGGAAAAAAAGACTCACCCCCACCCCTCACCCTGTGGTTTGATGAAGTGGAGGACTTACAACAACTGAAGGAATTGACATTTACTGCTCAGACACACACACAGAGATACGTAGACACATGGACACACAGGTTAACGGTGGTCTACCAGGCAGATTTCCAGAGATTGTTGACGTACAGCCGCTTAACAGGAATTGTAGGAGGAGACGTGGATGACGCTTAGGGGAATGTGCTGACTTAGGTGTGGGTCCCGGGCCACCGGTTGCGAATGCACCCCTGGCAAATTGATGACAAGGGTCTTTATTACTTCATTTATGCTATTGTTTCTAATACTGTTACCTCCCATTCTGAGTCGTTAGCTAGTACGCTTGATCACACAGGTTTCAAAGACCATGATGGGAGGGTATACTGATGGAATTTAAAACCTAAGCCTTTTACTGCATGATGTCTTTTAGTATGGAGATGTTAGTACATTTGTAGTTTGATAATGCTTACTCGGTCTTGTTTATTCAGACCCTTAATATATGGTATTTCATTGTCCGACTCCATTATGTTTTGGTTCCACTACCTTTACATTCTTCGAAGGACCTGCGTGTTCATATTTCTGTCCATACACTCTATAGTGGCCCTGCGAGGCCTCCATCTTTGATTACTGCTGAGGACCTGCGTATCCTGCCTCAGTATTTATCTTTCTTTCTAAAATCAATAATAAATTTCAATTCGCAAAAAAAAAACATGTTTGTTAATTATTTTCATGCTATATTTTATATTTGCACTAACTATCTTTAACACGTTGTAGGGTCAATGCCACCTTTGGATTGTAAGCTTGTTTGAGCAAAATCCTCATCAACCTATTGATCTGTAACATTTTGTAATTGTCTTATTTATTGTCCCCCCTTTATAATATTGTAACGCACTGAGTAATACATTGGTGCTATATAAATGCCGATAATAATAATGTCAGAATCAGAGGTTTACAAAACACCAGTTAAGAAGGGGTTAAAGTTATCAACAACATTTAAAGTGCACAAAATATGAGATTTAACATGAAACTTTTTATTCCAGTGTTATTGTGTTTTCAATAACTTTAGCTATTTCTGTTGAAAAATATGGCTTTAATTGTAAAATGGTTATTTAAATTCTCCAGCCGCACACCTCAATTAGCAGACCTATGCTAATGAACATATTTCTGCATGACTGGAGTTTATAGGGGAGATGTACTAATTAAGCTCTGGAGCTAAGGGTATAAAAAATGGCTATTGTGACACTAGCACCTTCTACGTGAAATGTTTGAACCTCTACGCAGTCATAAGTTCAGTCTCAGAGGTACTTACAGCAGAGACAATCAATGCATCGCAAACGAAGATACTTGTTAGAAATGCAAGAAATTATTGTTACCACAGAAAATGTGAATTTAGCACCAGGTTCGAATTTAATATTTTACTAAAAGTAGCCGATGTTTTTAGAGTGGATAAAACTTTGGGCGTCGTATGATGATTTTACCGTAAAGGTGCATGCATGAGCAGTGGTGTCACTCTTCTTATTATGCAAGAGATGGAAAAATTGCTTTTGTGTAGGTGGAAATTTTGCTTATAGTTTCACGCACTGATAATTTAGTAGAGTTTCTCAAGACAGCCAGGAGAAACATGATCTCAGTACGATTTAACTAGATGGGTAACGTTCTAAAAAGTGTATTGAAAAGCCAAAATGCTTATATAGGGGGTGTCTATTGTGCTAATAAAACCTGCCTAATAAGGCATCTGGTGGGTGAAACCAGTCATAGCTGCTAATGTTAAATATAATGTCAGATCTATGCTTAGCCTCCTTAGATACACTACCTATGGAGGCAAAACAGATAGAAACCTCCTACGTGTGCGCCTCTCCAGACAAAGCATCATGTGGCACAATCTACACACCAAAACCTTTAAGCCAACATTGGCTTGGTGCTTATAGTGATAATTTAAAGAAGATATTTTAGTTTACAGGTCATATCCCTGCTGTCTAATTGCTATATTCCTTGCCATTTCGGAGTTAAATAACTTTGTTTATGCAGTTCTAGTCACACCTTTTCTGCATGTCTCTTACATAACCTGCATGAAAAATAATGGTTTCAATTTTACAGCACAAAGAGGGTTATTTACCAAAGTGAGTATTCAAAGTGAATCAAAAGATAATTTCAAATTTAAGGCCAGGGTAGCTAAACTGAAAGTATAACAGATTTAAAAAAAAAAAAAATTAAGTTCAGCTATTTTGACCTTAAATATGAAATTACCTTTAGAAGATAACCCTGAGTGGGTTTACTTTAGAAGCTCTTATTTCCTGCTCTGTTAATTGGTATTTAATCACAAACAGGAGGCTGTGGGGTCTTGCAAACAATTAACAGCAGGAGATAAAAAAACAAAAACAAATCTAAATTAAAGGGACAATATAGTCACCAAAACAACTTTAACTTAATGAAGTAGTTTTGGTGCATAGATAATGCACCTGCAGTTTCACTGCTCAGGTCTCTGCCATTTAGGAGTTAAATCACTTTGTTCATGCAGCACTAGGCACACCTCCCTGCATGTGACTTACACAGCCTTCCTGAACACTTCCTGTAAAGAGTCATCTAATGTTTACACTTCCTTTACTGCAAATTCTGTTTAATTTAGAATTTCTTATATCCTGCTTTGTTAAAAACTTGCTAGACCCTGCAGAAACCTCCTGTATGTAATAAAAGTTCAATTTGCAAAACAGAAGATAAAACAAAGTTTTAAAGTAAGTTACATCTGATTGGGGAGGTGTGACTAGGGCTGCATAAACAGAAACAAAAATTATTTAACTCCTTAAGGGCAGAGAATTGAGCAGTGAGACATGATCTATACACAAGAACTGCTTTATTAAGCTAAAGTTGTTCTGGTGTTACTTTAAATATACTATGCAATAAGTGAAGTTTAAAAAAAAGTTATCTCTTTTCAGGAAGTGTAAGGAGGCTGCATGAGTCACAGCTTGGGGAGGTGTGGCTATGGCTGCATAAACCAAGACAAACGTGATTTCACTTCTAACTTAAAGAGAAATGAGCACTGGGACCACATGGGGCATGACCTATACACCAAAACTGTTGTTTTGGCACCTGTAGTGCCACTTTAAGGTCCCTTTCATTTAAACAAAATATGCTTACTGACTATTTTTGGCAAAGACTCTGCAGAGACAATATTTAGAGGCAATATGGCACATGGATTAGCATAATGTCTATGTGATGATAGATATCGGCAATGGTATGGTATATGCACTCGCCACATCATTCTATATGGACACATAATGTTTGACAAGTCTTGACTAGACTGTTTCTAATGTCTAATGTCAATACACACCGTGAGGTAAAAAGTAGATATAACACATAACAAAAAAACACTCTGAATATTACAACCGCTTCACCTCCTCGAGGTGGTTATGATGGTTGGAGAACCTTGATGCTGTGCCACAGTTCACTGTTAAACCATTTACTTGTGGTTTAATGGTGAACTAGGGTTCCCAGTCACACTGTGATGCCTCTCTCTCTTTATTTAGAGGTTGTGGGGGGACTGTGTTAGGCTGAAAGTGAGACATGAGTGCTCACAGCCTATCACTATCGCCTGTTGCTTATATGGCCATACCAATCTGTGGGTAAAATGACATCCAATAAGCACAGTTCTGACAAGACAGGACTACTGTGGATTTGCACACCATCTGGTGCTCATGGTTACAGGAGTACAATTTCATGCAAGCTTGCATTTTACATGTTCCCATGCCATTCAAGTAACCAATGGAATACTTCACTTGTGTATTATTGTTTAATATGTGTAGAATTAAAGGAACATAATAGGGTCAGGAACACAAACATGTATTGCTGACTCTATAGTGTTAAAACCACTATTTAGGTGGCATGCCTCCCTTAAAACGTAATAGCAGTTGTATTTATGACATGCACTTCTGCAAGGCATACAGAACAATGTATTTCCAGTGCCACCTCCGATCCGCCCGTTAGGCTCACTTCACTAGAAGTGATTATCTCAGCAAATCCAATGCTTTCTCATAGGAAACGCATTGAATTGGCTGAGATAGTCAAGAAGGGGGGTTGGGCAAAATGTTGGTAATCAGCATCTCCTCATAGTGATGCGTTGAATCAATGCATCTCTATAGGGAAAGTTCAGCGTCTCCATGCAGAGCGTGGAAACACTGAATGTCAGTGCTGCACACTGTGCAGCACTGCCCCAGGAAGTGCCTCTTGTAGTCATGCGAGGAGTGGCCAGTGGAAGTGTCCCTATTGAGCAATGTAAACAGAAAACACAATGTTTACAGCAAGAAGGCTGCAGGGACAGGCAACATTCACCTGAATAACTACATTAAGCTGAAGTTGTTCTTGTGACTATAGTGTCCGTTTAAGCAGTTCCGTCAAAGCTTACCGAAAAAGTCACCCCTTGTCTACATGATACGCATGTCTACACTGTCTATGTCTTCTGTTTAAATTTCAAACAAGATAAGAGAACATTTTGGGCAATAAATCAACTGCAGGGCTCTTCCTTAAGAAAAAATAAACATGTAGGCGTGTTGTCAGCAGTTTCAAAATCTTTTAACATATTGTGTTACAGTTCAAAAGGAAAACAATAGGAAATCTTGAAAGAAAGGGCACCGTTAGTTGACGTGAACTTCCAAGATAGTTAAAGTGTATCCATTCCTGGTTAGAAATCAAGGATCACCTTATCGCTTCCTCACCACTGTTACTTCTACTTCCTGGAGTTGTATTTCGAGGTAGAGAACCTGAGGTGTTGATAAAATGGTGGGTGCTGAAATATCCCATCTTTCAAGCTCCATTTTTTTTTAAGAAGAAAGGAAAAACTATGAAGCGAACATATTAAACTCGAGCTATTTCCTGCACTCTGAAGGAAGAAAGAACACAGCTAACTGTGTACAAGAGGAGATCTGCACCACTCTTATCTCTGACCTGCAGCTTAGCCTTGTGTCTCAGCTGCCAAAAAGCTCCTATTGAACCTTATGCTGAGTTCATCAGTGTTCCACGTGTCAAGATCCTAACAGGAAAAAGCAGGACAGACAGTCACTCTATTCAACTGCCTGGGGACACCGTGACAACTAAAATCCCCTTGCAGACTGTCCATATCAACCTAAGACAGGTCAGAACACATAGCCGTCTAGAACCACAAGCTGTTGCCCGCACCCTTCCCCTTTGTCAGCGCTGTCACTTAAAGGGAACATGAAGCCTTATCACAAAACCTGAAGAGTGTATGACAATTAGGATGAATTGCAAAACCGTGCTAGTGCTTTACATTTAACAATAACTTGGCAGCCTATCCCACGCAACTGTTGGGTGGTATGGCAAGAACTTTATCCCTGCTTAGCAGTGCATTAGCATATTTAGTAGGCTGCAAGTCATAATTCCTAAGATATAAAAATAAAAAAAATAAAAAAAAGTTAAAGCTTCCTTTAAGCTACAATGCTCTGTCACTACGCAGCACTTATACAGACCTTTCCAATGTTAAATCTAAAAAAAAAAAATTTACCCTTTGGCATTATTTCATCACATTAGCTCATATTAAAGAGACTTTACATTGGGTTTTTTTTTTATTTTCTTTCTATATCGCCAGCCTAGTCTGCAGAACTGTACAGTAGAGGTATTACAAAATAATAAATGACGTACATGCTAGAGGAACAGAAACGAGGTTAAGTGGAGTTACAATCTGCCAACTTATTCTCACTTGCAGAACAATGATAAACCTTTATACACAGTACATTGTTCTGTATGACTTGCAGGAGGGCACATCGTAAATACAACTGCTCACCTACTGCAGCATGTGATCAGTACCGGAGAAGAAGGATTTAGGAGATGATTGGAACGTCAAGCTGACCAGAGTCCATTTGGCTAAGAAATATTTGGCGTTTTCTAAGTAATAATGATAATTAATATGACATGATGCCTGGCTATATATCTTAAAGATTATACTTCCCCAAAAAATGAATAAATGCTGAATGGTGGCATATAAGTATTAATATATTTTTTTTATGTTTATTAAGTAGATGACTGGATTGAAGAACACAGCAAAATCAAGAAAAAAAAAATATTAGTTAAATATTCAAACAATTGAGAAAAATAAGTCAGAGTACTCTGTGAAAAGGGCAGATACTCCAAAATATTGATTACTGTCTTTTTTATGTAAATATAATTTTACACAATTTTTGGACATTTCAGTTAATAAATTATCACAGCATCTGCGTTGCACCCAGACCTATTTGGAATGTCAAGTAAATCAGCTCCATCATATCTTATATATATATATTATACTTTTTTAAATTGTTAAATTTATTGGAATTCTTTATTTTTTTTTATTGGAATTTAGTGTTCTATAAGGAATGAAACATAAACAGGATCAGTGAACTCAACTACAGACGTTTTTGAAGGGTTTTAGTTATGGCTATGGTACAAATGTGTGTTTATAATCCCCTGTGACAATAAAATATTTTCTGTGACAGCTAAGGAATTGTCCTCTTTGACATCTGTGTTTCTGTAGAAAGGATTTCCTGCCAAATGTAAGGAGACAACTGTGTGACCCATCTTATGAGAGAGACACCGCTAGCCGATTATAGCACAGCAGGGATAGGTACTGATTCAGATAACATCTCTGGATCCCACGAACATATTTTCCCTAAGTACATTATAAAAATATATATATATATCATTTAGGTGTTCGGGAGAGATAGGCTGCATGCGAGATTATGTGAGACAGAAATGGAATGCAGAAACTTAGTACCAGCTGAAAAGGGGATTTAACCAGCTGGCAATTTTGGCAAACAAAAAGTAGAATGTTAAGCGTGACAAAATAAAACAGGTGAACAGGTATCAAAAAATATGGTTCTTCCCTGGAACACTATTTTTTTTTAACATGGGAATGCTTTGACAGGTGCAGGTTCAAGTTACTGCGTGGAAATAGCAAATAAACAGAGAGCATTAGTGTTTGACGTGCTAGCAGAGCAACCGGGGATGTTAATAACTGGCAAGGTACACTAATCTGTGATTGCAACATTTGGTTTACCTTAATCTGGAGGGACAGCTGTATTAAAGAGGGAATTATACTAATCAGTTCAAGGCCCTTGCATATAAAACTTCCCATTAGGCTTAGAGTACAACAGCTTACGCTTATTCAGTAGGAGCCTCACATCTGGTTCTGAATAAGGCAGCCTCTCATTTGCAAGGTACATTTGGAAAACAAGAGGTGGGGGGAGAGGTCTGACAGTTGCTATGGGGTGGGCAGACAGGGGGAAGGGTGATGGGATGAGCAAGCTACTAATTCTTTGAAAATGTTACTGCACAACACTGGCTTGGAGGCATCTCAACACTTAAAAGAAGGCATTTGTTATGAACCCTAGGCCATTTTTTTGCCCCCCTCCCCTGTAACCGGAGGTGGATGACATACAATAAAATTGATGATGTCAGTCTGAAAAACACGGCTAAGCACAAAGCTGGCTTTGTTATCCGAAGTCAGAAGGTATGATAAGCAAAGCACATGGCTGTAATCCTCCTGCATCTCCTATCACCTACGGGAACATTTCATGTCGAATGACCCTATTTAATAGGCCTCAGGTTGGAGTCTGCACCAAAAGGGCATTTTTATTGTTTTTGCTATATCCAAAAAGGTTTGTGTTGATTTTTTTTCGTTTTTTTTTTTTCGCTCTCCAAACTATAAATCCCACTGATTACACTGCAGTCTTTTGCTTCACTGAGCCTTTACAATCAGACATCCCCTTTAACAATAAGCTCCTAATGAATCAAACATCTATGGCATTAGTTTCACCTAGCTGCCTCTTTCCCATGGTCTGAAGCCCATTGTCAAACCTGGTTTGATGAGAAAAGCTACTGACACATCGTGCACCTATTGATAAACAATTCAGTAATGAGGGACATAGCAAAAATTACCTAAAACAACCTGATTAAAAATGACAGCCAAACGCTACACAACGTTGCTCTGTGATTGCCGGAATTGTTTAACTTAAAATAAGAATAATTAGGTAAAATGCAGGTCACGTTACTGTCAGGTTTGTATCACAATTTGGGTTTTTTGTATGTACAAATAAAATATGTTTTAATGATGATGTTTAGCTTGGTCTTTACGGAAATTATGACACATTTACCGTTCATCGTCGGAATGGACTACTTTAGAGGGACGTCAGTAAAGGTATTGAGGCTTGAATAAAACTGATATGGCTGAATCTAAAACAAAAACTGATTTAGAGGAACCTGAAGGGCCTGTCTTACTGTGTCTATTAAATAAACTGAGAATTGTGGTGAGCTAGCAACCGATTCACAAATTACAAGCCAAAGTTGGCAATATTTGGAAAAAGAAAATCCCATCTATTATGCTAAGATGGAGATTTTGCAATAGACATATTGGTTTCATGTTTGGAGATATGAAAATTATCGTATTTGCCCATCGCAACAATATTTTTCTAGCAGCAAAAATGTAAGGTAGCTAAAAAATTGCTTCCGAGGCCTCTGAATATGCCTTGAGTCTAAGATACTTTCCCAAATTAAATATTTTTGTTCACAATGTAGCAAGTCAGTTGTCAACTTGAGGTCACTGTGACTTGCTATCACCAAGCTCTGCTATTCAGGTAAAAAGAATACTCTTTGATAGGTCATTAAGCATCAAGTGGCAAGTGGACCATCTGTCAATGGACCTGGATTGTTCTTTTTGTTTCACAGCTCTATAACTCGAAATAGCAGTGACTGACCAAACATAAATTTCTTCTGGCTCTGCCCGCCTTTAGAGAGATACTCATACAATGGTGTAGGTAGGTACACCTCTATTACCCTCAATAAAGAAAGAAGACAATAAGGAGGCACACACTACTGTGTGATCTCCACTCTGATGAAGGCAGTTGTGGTTTTATAAGCAAACAGTCCATTAACTGTTGGAAGCATATTTATGTCTCCAATAAGAGTTGAGATTATTGTTTTTAGGGGGGTAATATATTATTTGCATTATTATGGGCACTTAACTCAGCTTATAAACATATATTAACAGGAGGTGGGACCGCTTAGAGAAAACAGATTTTGAAACAAGGACAAATGGAAAATAAAATTCCCAAAAGGAAAAGCCCCTACATCCATAGGTACATAGGAGCTGGAGAGAGGGGGAGCAGTATGGGCAACACAACGAATAGGAAGTAAGTAGCTATGGGGAAATGGGCAAATCAACCAATAGGAAGCTAGCAGCTATGGAAATATTGGCAAAACAACCAATAGGAAGTTAGCAGCTATGGGGAAATGGGCAAATCGACCAATAGGAAGTAAACAGCTATGGAAATATTGACAAAACAACCAATAGAAAGTAAGCAGCTATGGGGAAATGGGCAAATCAACCAATAGGAAGTAAACAGCTATGGAAAATTGGCAAATGGCTATACAACATTGATTCAAATTACATTTATTTTTAGAAATGTTACATTGTAATGTTTGAGTGCCTCTGCCAATCCTTCTGCTCTCTGCAGTCAAATAGGGGTGGAGCGGTTACTGAGCTATAGCTCAGCTGTGTGAGGGGTATAGCTGTGCCCAAACATGACTTAGGCAATAACTGTGTTGGGAGTTGCTATCAAAAAAACAAATGCAACAAGCAGCATATACTCACATTTCACATGGTAGATAGATAGACAGATTGTTTTACTAACATACTTTTACTTTATTTTTTTAATAGTTAAATAGTAAAGCACAAACTGCCTTTAAATAACTTCACTTCCAAAATTAAGCATAGCGTAAAATTTTATTTTATTAATGCAAAATTAATACTCTAAGTATTAAACTTGCACTAGACCTCAGTGAAGAGCAATCCCACTAGACGACAAGACAAAAAATGGACGTATGGTT